AAAAAAAAAATCAGAACTAAAATCAAATTGGTCTCAACACATACCAACTCCACAACAACCATAGTATACATTATTTCGACACAGTTTATGATCTCAGAACATTAAATATTTTAACTCATACATTAGTGTAATACTTGAAGAATATCATAAACATAATCAAATAAAGAAAAATTATATTCAAACATATAAATCGATTTTAAGATCAGAAGCATTTTAATAATTAATGAATAATAATTATACGTAAAATCTATACCAATATTATTACATATTATTAAAACAAACCAATCAAATATTAAAGATCACTTACAATAATTGTGTTCCTGATATTTAAATTTTTAATAGGATTTGATTTTAATATTGTAATTTCAATTATAATGCATAAAATTCCTATTTCATGTTTTTTTATACGTTTTAGATGTAACCTGATGATAATGAATATATTCAAAACTAAAAGTTACTATTTTTTATTTTTTTTATTTTAATACCCATTCGTTCTTCGGGTTAATACTCCAGGTTGTAACTCCATTTTTTTCTTATTAAAAAATAAACTATAATATTCGATAAAATCGAATCTGATGGTCTACCAAACTGGCTTCTTGTATTTATATATAACAATCAAATTATCTTTATAATAGTTTCGCACTGTATAGCCACTAGTCAGATTTACCTCGAATGTAACAGGTAACAATAACAAAACAATAACAGTATTTCAATAATAACAACAAATTAATAATATAATATGTATACATTTTATAACTAGTATTCAAAATGTATAATCATTAGACGTTGGACTCAAACATAATCCGATTGCCTCCGTTACGGTCCATTTAAAATTATCTATGAAATACGCGCGTAAATGAAATCGTAATTTTCGAACAATGTAAAATTAAATTCATACTACTCACAGTCGATTGCATTATATTATTAATAAATTCCATTATAAAATAATTTCATCGTTCAAACGTCTTGTCAGCGCTCGCTGTATATTAAAGGAGAGGTATGTACCTAACCGGGTATATAATATTGTATACGCATACTGTCGACAACCTAATACTGTAGGGTATGTTGTATTATAATAAGTATATAGCATATATAATACCGGGCAAATATTATCATGTTGGTTTAATATTATGTAGACTTTGCGGTCGGATGAAATAAACGCAGGTCACGTGTATACGCATTTACTTTAATAATAAATTGCAGTCAATAATATAATTATATTTTCTTTTTTTTTTAACACCGTAATACCAATGAACATCAATGCAATAACATTAGATACATAACTATAGTTGATGTAGTAATATACAGTATATTATACACTTTTCTTCTACCGTAAACCGTTGTTAAATCATATAACTAGTGTAATGTATTTTTAATAAATTTTGCTATTTTTTATCGTAGTAATAATATTTAAAATTTTTGAAATTATTGTAATTTTTATTTTTATTTTTAAATTTAATCTTTTATTTTTAATATGATATTTTAGATTATTTTCAGGCAAATATTTTACTTTAGTATACAAAATTCAAAATACCTAAAAAATATATTTAAACTTACAATAATAAAAATATTTTTTCAACAACAATTGATTGAAAGACATGTGTTAACATTTATATAAATATTATATATTTCAATATAACCATTTGATAATAATTATTTTTATGTGTTGATTATACAATATAAAACTATAATGGATTGTGTTATGTTATAAAATGGTTTTCAATTTTTTATTACACTATTTTACTTATCCATTAAAATGTACTTATATATTTATTTAATTTTTCTATATTCAAACTCACAAAATTAAGTGAGAATATTTTTTTTTTAGAATTAAAGTAATTCATGATTTTTAACAAGCAACTATTAGCTGTAATAGTTATTTAAGCTGTTTTAACACAGTAATATAATACATGAAATCAAAAGAATAAAAGCATAAAACGAAAAATAATAATTATGTGTTTTCATACACTTTTAAAAATATATTTATATTGTTTATTTATAGAATTTTTAGTACTTCTTAGGTTTAAAGTGCATTTTTGATTATTTTTAAGTGCTTTTTTATTTTAGGCGATATTTTAGCTAGATACTATTTTTATCTCGACGATTATAGTCAGGTAGAACATGGCATGTGTGTTGCTGAAATTCCCAGGTGGTCGACCATCTGAGAACTAATAACGGAACCGCTAGCTTAACACCAGTGCCGTTGGCGAGTAATGCGTTCACTGTGCCATGCTTTGCCCAAAAAAGTGCTTTAATTCATTTTGTGTAGGATTTTTGCTTAATTTTTAAATGCTTTTATTAATTTTATATAGCTACAACATCTGAACTTCAAATCAACCAACCGTATTTATGTCAATAATATGTGCGATTTATAAACGTACACCCAACGAATGTATCTATACAAAGCAACACAGTGTTATTGATCAATATTTTGTTTGTTTTTTGTTTTTTTCATCATCTTCCGAATGCAGTTGGCGTCGCGATGACATTGAACCCGAATGGTGTTGGAGTTAAAGCTGAACCAGTGATGTCCACTGGTGTTGGCGGCGTCAGTGGTCCGAGGAAACAGTCGGCCACAAAGACGTGAATGGCTACGGCGAATTGCCATGGTAGTGGAACGTTTATTCTAAAATATGAGTGGAAATCAAGGATCAAAATCGTTTATTATTAAGTTTCGTTGTTTTTTCGCAAGAAAACAATATACACTCTCGTTACGATGTATTGTATTATATAATATAATTTGTATTCCGAGTATTATTATTATTTATTACTATACAACGGCAGTAGGTATATTTATTTATAATATTATTGTTATAATTATTATTATTAACTTTAGAGAGACTCCAATCCTATAATGATGTACAAATTTGTCTTTAAATACTAAAACTGCACGCACACACAAAAAAACGACCAAAACACGACCAAGTAATGTGTATGCATTAAGTTCCGACCAAAGATCCACAACGTTTGAAGGTTAGGTAACCTAAACTACACGGGCAGCAGTCACTAATTAGTTTAATATTGTATTTGCGCCCCCTCTCATTGTCATCGTTAGAGTAATAATATTATAATACAACTTCTCGTTGCTATTGTATTCGCATCGAGCAACATATGGTGTAAATATATTTTTTTTTACGCAATATTTCATTTTTGTTAAAGGTTTAGTCTTATCGTTAAAATTCATTTATATTATCGAGATTAACAAATCGTCGTTTATCATAAAAACCATGGTCATTTGGCTGTATATAATATTATAATACATACGGATTACGGGGTATTTTTTTTTTTTGACGCGAGACACTCATAAAACGTCGTCACAATATTAATTATACATAAATAGTTATAAGTAGCCATGTCATTTATAGTATTAATATGTTTGAAATTAAAATCATGCAAAAAATTAAATTTTTTATCTTACCTTTACGCTATATACCTACATACATATTATTGTTTATTATATAGTTTCGTTTAGTTTTTATACTTTTTTTTTAAATGTAATAGTTATCTCTTACTAATCATGCACTCGTTTATAAATTAGTATCTAAACTGTATTAACAATAAACTGTTGGTCCATGTATAGCCTATTTATAATTTTATATGTATAAATATTAAAAATGTATTCTCTGACAGAAGAATTATATTCTTCTTCAAGATATGAAATAAAAATAAACAAGAACATAAAAAAAAAATATAGCTTAACAAATACCTAGAAATTAATATAATATAACCTAATTTTCAGTGTCTTGCGTTACAAAAATTCACCTCGTACATGTATTTATATATTGTGATATTAGATAGCTAAATATTCATGGAAAATGTGTTTGATTATAGTTGAAACGGACCTATACATATTGGCCATTATCGGCGATTATGTAACCTTTATACCCAAGTGAATATTACAATATACGTATGTACCTATTAAAAATATTATAATATGTACAATATATAATATTATTATTATGCGTGTTGCTGAATACAAAACAGCTAAACGAACCAATAATAATAAAAATAGATTTTTTTTTTTTTGATTAAAAATACCCTTATATTGTGGGATTTGTACGGTTTTACAGAGAAAAATTTGCTCACTTTTAAAAAATAATAATAAAACATAAAATAAATAATAGACTATATTATATTATATAAAATGTGTTGCACAGAATTATTTTGTTTCTATTCATTATTCAACAACTAAATTACAACACATTATTATTATTATATTATTCGAGAAAAAAAAAACAAAAAAAAAAACATTGACGATTATTTATATATATACATATATTATACTTATATAATTTATTGAATTTTTTTATGTATATAATAATTACTCATGTAGATTATATTTATGCGTAGCAGTATTATCTACGATCATTTTTTGAATGCACCAAAAATAATTAGACAAAATAATAATTTGCTTCGATAAACAATACAAATTCATATTCTCATTTATATATTATATAAATAATGTCGTTCTTAAAATGTTTATGAAAAAATTATATTATATGTATTAAACGTTACACTTAAATATTGTATTTAAAACATTTTATACTCGTTTAGAACTAAATTTATTATTATCATTAAACATAAACATGTTATTATACGATAATTATATCATCTATTTATAATCAAATTATTATGTTTTAAAGTTAAATTCTGTTTCTGTCTATGAATACTTTTTTTTTATTATTTATTTTCTTTATGTTAATTGTATAAGTTATGATTATATTATTATGTTTTGACATTCATTTTACGTTCCCTGGTTGTGATTTTTAAGGTTGTTTTTATGTTATTTCTTTATAAAGTTTTATTACATCATTGTCGTTCAAACTCTGGTTGTGTACTTTTTTTTTAGTATCATTTTTAACAAATTCAAAATAGAAATACACACACACACACATTTACACACGTTTATCCCTAATCCACTATGTTGTATAGTATTCAATAATATTACAGAACGTACAAAAGAGTATAATATTTATTTAATAATACAAAGTAACAATACAATAGTAAGTATCAGTATTAAGCTTGAAGTGTAATCTTTGGTGGAATTGACTTCGGTAAGGCACACACGTTGTCGCCAAATGTGTTCATCATTATCATCTTGTCACACGGTCGGCAACACCTTGTGTTGTTGTACGCGAAGTGCGAAACAAAACAAAAACAAATTTACGACGAACACTGCTGTTGTTCGTATCTGATGCACATTCCCAAGTTGTCTTCGGGATTTTCTTCCCTATTACCTGGTCCAAATTGCACTCGCATCACGAATGGGGTGGTGCTACCTATGAAAAATGTAAAAATAAAGTTAACAATAACGGTCATTTACTATAATTTAGCCATTACAACGAGTAGGTATGTATGATTATACTATAATAAACAGAGTAAATATTTTCTTAACACTATTTGTCAAAATTTCGCACGTAAAATATATTTTATATTTCTAATGAATCAAGTTTATACCTGTAACTATTAAAATTATTATTATGTTTGAGCTTGATAATATAGAACATAAATTACTGTCTGTTGCTTAAAAATAAGCAACACGAAAATTGCTTCAAATAATTTAAGAGTATTTCACACGAGATTCAATGAAGAGAAATTATATGATGATGTCTTACGTTATAAATATCACCTCGTATAATATATTACTCGTACATGCCACAAACATCGTTCTCTATAATTTACTATAATTGAGTAATATTATATACTCACTCTCGATGCGGCACGGCGTTTCCTTGTCTGTGCAGAAATTATTCCCGCAGTGGAGCAGATCGCATATCCCGGGTCCCCCTTGAGGCTGATTAATGTAAAATAAATAATATAAAAAAATACATGTGTTTAAAAACAAATAATCTAATTTAAATATTTAAATTATAACACGTTATAAAGAGACCAACCGTTAAGAATTCTTCGGAATCACAGGGCATCATAACACGATCAGTGCACTCCCGAAACACATCCATGGACACCACTTGACTCCCGCTTGGATCACCGCCACCTTCGTCTCCCGAACCCTCGATCCCTGTGTCTATACGCCAATGATAAAAATAATAAGCATTTTCGATCATCAGAATACAATCATTTAATATATAATATATTAACCCCCGTTCAACTCACCGGAAAATATCGGTGGTCCGATTTTAAACGAATTCTCGTCGCACGGCTCGTAAGCGATCGAACACATACCTGTAACGTCAAAACTAGTTAGATAGTTATACGGTTCATCGATAAAAATATAATAGGTAATTATTATTATTGTGTAATCTTCAGAAGTCAGTGGTATTAGTAGAGAAAGGGGTATGTCGACATCAGAGTAAATAAGTTAAAATTATTAAAACCCAGTTTATAAAAATATAATAGGACTGAAAAAAATTTAATCTAAAAACTTTGAAAGGATAACTCAAGAATAAAAAATAAAAATTATTATTATTTTTTAATCTTAGTGAATCATTAGTTAATTGAGTAAATTAAAAATATATTAAAACTAGGTATTAATTATTATACGAGTATCTTGTTTGTATTAAATATTTTAAGTAGTACAAATTAATAGCTATTGAGGCAATAATAAGCTATATTTTTATATGTAACTTACATAATTTAGCTTAAAAATATTGATCAAAATCATAAAGTTAGATTTATTTGTGTTTATGAACTACTTATATCGTAATCTAAATAAAAATGCTAAGGTTTGCAGTTCAAACGATACCAATACAATGCCACTAATTACATAGGTACCTACCGTGTTCTTGGCGTATGCAAATTACGTAGTCTTGGTCAGCCAAATGTCGACCATTGACCGCAAAGTTCATCGTCTGTACTGTGCCGGCGATTTCGTGAAAATACTGAAGGCAGCCGGCTGGTGCACGCTGAGCGAACTCGATCTGGGTAATCTATATTATAAAAGTAACGTATAGTTCATTCAGTATATACACGTAACGTCACGACAATTAACGTTGTTCGGACGACGATTAATTATAACGACGACGATTTTCTGTAATGAAAGTATATATTACACTCACTTTAATTTCCCACATCCGGTTGTAGTTACCTTTGGTCAGTCTAATGTTGATTGTGATATAGTCTTTCGCATCGTCCATATCGTAGTATACTGTCAAATCACAATAATTAAATGATTGTATTAGTCCGTTTCGGACAATAAAATAATAAAATGTTTAAAATGTTTGTATAAATCTGGATACCACTATGCATAAATAAACAGAAAATTCACAGTAAAAACCTGAAGGAAGAACAGGAGCTACCAAAAATCAATTTTGTGCAAAAAAATGAACGACATTTCAGAATACTCGTATTTATATTATTTACTGTGGCAATTATGAACATAAGTAGTCCTAAATTATTGTCTTAAAATATTTCTATTATTATAATGAGATCCTAGCACTATATGTATTACACATAAAATTAAATTTAGCAGTTTGTACAACTCCTCGCCTATCTACCGTGGCATACTCTCTCCTCTCACATTAACTATTTTCCCTCAAGCTCGCACGCATCGCATACTGGCAGACCGAGAGTATGATATTCACACGTGATTATTACGACTCATAGTTCCGGTATAACGCAAGCGAACTTACGTTCATTATATTATTTACGCCAAAGCATCCTAATGGCTCTAACCAACAAACCATACTGTATGCGTTTCCAAAAAAACCGTTAAAATTTGCTCATGCATACGGGTATATGATTCACGGAATACGCATCACAACGTTTTGACTTAAACCACATCACTTTGTAGTGTAATACGTGATAGATATAATATTATAACGCGAAAAACTACGAAATATGCGCAAATATAATACTTTGAACGCCCGTGAACATGCTATTATAAAGGCGTATAAATGGTAAGCCCAAATTTTTGACACGTTAAGAGTCTTTCACTGTGAACCATATCACTTACCGTGTTGACCACTGTTGAGACCACAAATCCTCAGGTCATTGGACGCTCCACCGGTAACAACGAATGTATCCGTCTCGCACACTCCCGTTTTCCTGTTTGGCTGTGCCTGTAATCGAATAATACTTATTATAAGGACAACAATCGGAATTATCAAATCATCAATTATTATATATTATACTATAGGTGTAATAGTTTCGAACGAAACAGGGTGGGTCTAAAGACCATGGTCGTTAAGCGACTCACTAGATTAAAGTTCACGAAGTCCAAGCGTATCTGGCTTATATCTTTGGATATCTTTTTAACACGCAATGAGCATTCACCCACGTCGTTCAACAAGCCTGGAAAATTTGGATTGACGAAGTACGTAACGTTGTTGGCTACCTCTGCGTTGCAGGACGACGTGACTACGGCAAACCAAGCATGATACATAGTTATGATATCATATATCAAATTCATATTATTAGAACAATCAACAT